TGGCAGTATTTCAGTATAAAAACGATTATATTACATCTAATCCGTTTGGTGGGGTAGAAACCAGGTGTAAGTTGAGAATTATTGAGAATTCTTGAGCCAGAGGGAATGAGGCCAATTCAGATAGAGGGAGGGGGTGTGTAAGCCACTTTTCGTGTGGCAAAAGTTTGGGCTTAGTGTCTGGTGTCTGGCCTTGTGAAGGAGACGCAGAGGAGCAAAAGGATTAGATGTCACCAATCGGATAAAAATCGATACGGAAATTGTGGATTTTAACTGACGCCAGAAATGACTGATCAGCAACCATTCTCGCTACTTTCATATCTCCATGGTACTTCGAAACCAACCATTGGTACCCTGTATGGAGAGAAGGAGAGCTGACCTGAATCCAGTTGGGCGAAGATCGGCTGAGATCTTCATCTCCACATAGTCCACACAGGTTGATGTGCATAGGAAAGAGAATTCTTCGATAAATTCGAATTCAATTCGTTTGCCTGCTGATGCCTAAACCACGGAGTTCACGTACTCTGTCTGGCTACTCTCACTATCCCTTTCTGTTTAGAATTGCTCAGTAGCAGTCAACGAACCTCGAAGACCCAGTTGCACTTCTGATCGGGATCGTAGCCTGGATCAGGAAATCCCGGCGATTCAATAGACTGCCACTCTTCGCTTACAGTAATTTTTCCGCCACACTCCGCTTCTGTATGGGAACTGCTGGTTGAGAATGACCTCGTGAACCAAAATGATCTCGAAATCGCAACGTACTTCTCGGTGGTTCGAAGTCTTCACATTTTGCACCAGAAAGTCCGTTTGGGCAGAGACATTCGTTACAGTGACTTGGATGGGGGTAACCTCCATGCTTGCAGTCGCCTGTCCCTGAGCACCGGTCTAAAAAGGAGATGATAAACTGACTCAGTGTAGGAACTGAAGACCCAAAAGTCAGGTACGGCACCTTGTAGACCAAGTTCAAGACGATTTTCACTTCTATGTATAAAGAAATTGAAGAACTGATAAAAGAAATAGAAATTAGGTGAAATAATAGGGGGGGGGGGAATCTCAAAGAATCAGTCTGACTTCCGTTTCGCACGGGCCCTTAGACGGAAGCCAGACGTGTGTAAGCATATCCTCTCCCTGTGCTCATCAGTAATAAGTAATATAATATAAGCCGACCATGATCTTGACTGCGGTCGTGAAATTTGGTGATGTTCCCCCTACATATATTTGCACAACCCTGCGTTTGTCAGCGAGAAAAACAACCCACTTTGTTGACCAATGGTTGATTTTCTCCATATTCTTTGGGAACATGTTTGGGGAACAATGCGAACCTGGCCGGACTAGAGTGTGGAAAGAAATCTCTCTACATGAGAAACGGTGAAGCACACCAGATCCTTGTTTGAAAGCAGAATTTATGCAACCCGCTTCAAATTAAGTTAGGGATGGTGAGTGGTACACGAAAGAAGGAAAAACCATGAGAAACGGCCCAGAACCCGAGAAATGGGACCCCTTCCTTGCCCGTTGATTTGCGCATTGATGCGACTCTCATCGCTGTGCCCTCTTCAACACTACGCTCTCTCTGCTATCTAATCACTCGCCACGTATAGACCTGCGGCGAGTGATAGATAGATAGTCGGTGGGCGTACCCCGCCAACCGCGCCAAGAGTGAGCCATGCTAGATCGCCGAGGTCAAATCTTTCGCTGCCAATTGCGCGTCAGTCCGCACCCTCAGGAGGTCCGCCTGTCTCCCAACTAGGCAATTTCCCCTTCTTCGACCTTCGTTCTTATCGTGAAATCCTCCTTTAATGGATTGGTCAGTGAGTATTCAAAAAATCTGATACAGTACCATTTCAGCATTTTCCAATGACAACATAGCTTTGAAAAGGACAAACACTGCCATGTCAAGTTTGCAGACTTGAGATTTTGATTTCTATGTTTGAATCAATTAAAGCAAGTACCCCCAGCAACAGTCGTGTCGAAGAATCCATTCAGTGGTGGGATAGAGTAGCCACGAGTATCACAGATGTGCCGTTGTCGCGGCTCGAAAGTGCGCGACAATGGCGCTAGGGTCTTACAAAGTGAACTTATGGCGACTAATCTTAACATTATGGACGAGTTACGTCGCGCACACCCCATGACACGCAACGTGGATTACGGCGTAGCGGCTAATTCAAATACGCGCGGGTTAGTTGAGCCGTGGAGCAGGCAAGTTCGTACAACTCGTCTGGCCCCGCCCCTTCCTTATTTCAAGGGAATCCTTGTTTAGGGCTTCATCGACGGTTTTCTTTGCTTCTTTTTTCATTTTAGTCAACTCGGCATCCACAACTCCATTATCGACCGCTGTGACCCCACAAATTTGATCTGGATGTGTTGCTTGAATTACCCTTTATTGTTTTTTATATTATGAAAATTTCA